GGTGATGGTTCTGCAGCAAGACAAAACTGAGATCAATAACGTCAAAAACAGACAAAATATTCATAATTTGTTTTGAGAATTTTTTTAAAGCAAACATGACATGTTCAAATAGAACCATCTACCTTTATAAACAGTGCTTAAAAAAAAAWATCACACCAACAGTCTCTCGATGGCCATCTGAACAGACTGAATCTGCGGTTTGAGCTGAGARCCCTCCTTTATGGTGACTGAGGTAGCGATGACGGGACGTGACACCCCACAGGCCCGGCCCAGTGCCTGCTTGGAGCGGACAAACACATACGGGACATTCTTGTCCTCGCAGAGCAGTGGAAGGTGGAGGATGATCTCCAGTGGTTCGGCATCGGCAGCCATGACGATAAACTCAGCGATGCCTCTGTTTAGGGTCTTCGTGGCTGAGGAAAGAGTGTACATTACTTACAGAACAAATTTCATTGTAGGTGTTCTCGTTTTCTTAACGTTAATATTAAAAAATGGATTCTAGCAACTGAATGGACAGACAACAGTAGTATTACCAGTAAGAAAACAAAGTAAAAGATCTTGTGTGCTAAATAAATTAGTAGTAATAATAATAATAATAATAATAATGATAAAATTAAAAATGTTCCTGTCCCTTGTTTTTAATCGTATCTACATTTAAAAAAGGACATTGATGTAAATTGTTTTTTGTCATTCCAAGACAGAGATTTGTAGTTTGACTTTGATCTCACTCCTTTCTGAAATATATGCCCGTTTATATCCTATTTTTGATATTTTACCTTAATTTTAGCCCATTTGGAACATATCAAGCTACTACAGCAAGCAGATTAAACTTAACTTTAAATTTTCTAACATGTGTTGTATGTTTTGTGAACAAAACAAACATGTGGATAAAACTATAAACCGGGTATATGATACATACTGACTTAATATCTGTATTATTTTTAAAACTTCTGGCATATTCAGTCCWTGTTCTTCATTGTATTTGCTCCTTATTGTAATACAAACTTTACTGAGGTAAGYCAAAGTTTGTTTTGTGTTGTTTCCTTACCTTCGTTGGCTCCTTTCCTCAGCTGTTTGTAGTTTGAAGCTTGCTGCACCAGGTCCAAGATGGTTTTGGTCAGAGTGGCGTCGGCCAAGGGGTAGGCCTTCGGGTTTACTTGTGGTTCACTCTGGTTCAAACAAATACAAATGACTAAATAAGAGAAAATAAGGCCACACACTGCATAAACTAAAGCACATTCATTAGTATTTGTGGTTTAGCTGTTGTAGTCTCTCGGGCTAGTTAGCAATTAGCTGATATGTTAGCTTAGTTCAACGAAAGACTTACCATTGTTGATTATTTTTATTTCTGGTATTCCGGCCCTCTCGGCGAAATGCTTCACGGAGGACTATTTAGTTGATCCCCTGGCTTGGAATATGCAACAACAGGCGAAATGTTATATTGTTTTCCTCAGTAACAGCGCTTTAGCTCCCGTAAACTCCTAAGCTTGCAGCCAGRCCAAAGCGTTCACTCCACGTGCGATGATGATACTGCTTTTGCACATGCGCACTGGGCACATGGACTAAAAATGACAGGAAATACCTTTTCCGGTCGTCTATAACAAAAAAAATAAAACTAAAAATAAAAAAAAAGACCTGAGTTTTAAACTGCGTAAGATAAAGAGGTCTCTTAAGCCTCACACTGCTAGTTGCTTGCTACTCTTCGCTCAAATAACATTTTTCTTTAGCTTGTGCCTTGACCTCGMAGTGGAAAAAGTGAAATAACAGCATAGATTCATATCCAGTCAGTATGGAGCCCGCGAGGGGACACGGGGGGATTTTTTCCCCCTTTGGCGTTTCCACGCAAAAGATTGTTTTGTATATGAACTGAATCAAATCAGACTTTTATTTTGAAATATCCGGTTACCAAAACAGGATGTGTCGCCACAAGTTCGTGAATTGACATTGATGTTGCGTGGCTGRACTTATGTACTGTGTTAAAATATCGGCATATGACCAGTGTTGCCAGGTGTWCGACAATTATCGTATTTGTACCATAATTTTGCCCTCTGTACGATGTACGATCAATAATCCCAATAATCCCATAATGTACGATAATTTGACCACTCCATTGTGTGACGTAACAAACTAGAATAGTTCCTGGAGAAACTAAGAGAGGATTGACAGCTGTGCAAAATACGTCCTGTGCAATTATTTTCTTTTGCAAACAGTTC